TCCAGAGAATTGTTGAAATTTACCTTCGGAAACGGCGCCACCTTTGGAAACAGCGCCGCCTTCAGAAACGGCATGAGGGCCCATGTCGTAAAAATTCACCCCGGCGTGACCAAGATTATGGTCAAAGGTGGTGGCGACGGGGTCGAATTGTTGTTGGATGAGCTGGTGGTGGATGCGTGGAGGTATCGGCTTCCAGCGTCGGCGAGGCTGGAGTTGGCCAGTGCTGTCAGTGCCAACAGTGAGCTCGTTGTGATGGTGCCCAAGGCAGGAAGGGAATTTGGAGACGGAGGAAAGGGTTGGGGAGGATTAGGCCGGCTCGTCCTTGTACAATAATCAAATTTAACTTCCTTTTTTATTGCCTGAAATGTGGGGTTTTTTTTTTTTTTTTTTTTTTTTTTTTAATATTTTGGATTTTTTTGTTTTTTAACTCTATTTTTATGGAACGCATGAATTGGGTTCTAATGTGTTTCTTGTGTTTCTATCAAGAAACATAGTTTAGTTATCTATAGATGTTTAATGCCTTTCAAAAGTGATATTTTTTACAATTTCAATTCCAAACACCATTCTTAGAATCATTAATGTGCAAGTCAATCAGTTCTTTTTTGATTCATAATTAACTCGGTTTGTGAAGTTAATGTGCGGCTTTCCTTGATATTATTATTATTATTAAATCGTGCTAATGAATCTATGAGTGTGGATTAGCAAAAATAGAGATAAGAAAATTGGATCTCAGAGACATAGCAGTAGAATTTAGAATAAACCAATCAATGAATGAACTGATAGAAGAAAAGCTGCCAACGCTTAGATACGGTTTAGCAAACAGCTCATTCGAAACTAGGTATTACAATAAGGCAGGTTTAGCAAACAACTCATTATATTTAGTCTTCTATTGGAGAGTAAATTGAGCCAATTAGATTTATCTGCAACAAGGCAGGTGACTGATACTAAAATTTCCGGCGCGTGCTGGAGACGGCGAGCACTGACGGCATAGGATGATTGCAGTGGAGAGATAATTGCATGGGCATTTTGGGAAGAATAAAAGGGTAAAATGGGTATTACAACACTAATTTATGTCAGATTTATGACAGATGGGTAATTTTGCACAATATCAAAAGATTAGGGGTGTTTATTGCTCACTTTTTAAAATAAGGGGTAAAAATATTACAAAAAATATACTTCAGGAGTATTTTTTGCACTTACCCCTTTAATTTTCAAACTGTCTTTGTTTTTTTCAAAAAGACTCATTCGAATAAAATAAAAAAGTTAAATCTGAACTAAACAATGAAGCCTAAGTATGTGTATGCATATATATTTACTAATTGATTGATTGATTGATTATACACAGGGCTCTTAAAAATATACTTGGTGGAATTCCAAGGCCTCTGATGGATTTGAGCGCAGAGAACTTCGCAAAAATGGTTGACAAAGCATTCGTACCCAAACTCAACCCTCCTCTCCACCCAATATCGTGACAGCCTCAATTTCATTTTAGCTACTTACATGCTTCCATACATGGGACTTGTTGGTAACGTTGGGATCAATCCTTTGCTCAGGGGCTACCAATCAAAGAGGGTAAGTCTCCATTCTGCTCTTCAATGCCCATACCTTTAATATATATATATATCCATGCCATACTACCAATTCCGTGAATTTTATTACTATCAATGGTGAATTTCGCTAATTCACCTGCAAGCAAATAGCAACAAAATTTAAATAAGTGAAATTTCACTATTACATTAGTGAAATTCACCATTAGTAATAATAAAATTCACCCAAAAAAAAAAAAAAAAAAAAAAAAAAAAAAAAAAAAAAAACCAAACCAACAACAAGGGAAGAAGTATTCAGTGTTAAATGTGTACATTGTCTTTTGCAGCTCTTGAGTGGACTTTTGGGGGTGAAAGCCGGACAAAACGCTGTTATACGAATGTATTTGTTTGAGCGAGCTAGCGAAATAGTAAAGCCATACAACTTTACGGTGGCAGAGTTCACAAACCGCATTGCAATACTGAGGAACTGAATCGCATTGTGTGACATTAGAGATGAAGGACTCATGGTCCCACCTGCCGAGAACCGAACCATGACCAATGTTTTATCAGCCAATTTTTCCTCCATTTCTTACAAGAGAACTTCGGAGGAGATACTGAGGATCCTGTATGACACCGGGAATGAGCATTCGCCCGGTAGATTCTTTCCCCGGGGAGCAAATGGAAAGCTTGCTAGAGGACTTCTGAGTTCAGCATAGACAAAATTGCTAGCTCATGCATGCCATGCATGCATGTTGTTGCCATCGATCAGTTTATGTTTCATGAATAATTAAGTCCTATTTTCTTGTAATAATGTTTGATCCATGTAAGTGATCAAAGTACCGTTTCTTTTGAAATTGTCATTTCATATAAATTAAGTGGTGTTCATGTTCACCAAGATAATGAATTTTTTGGTGAGCATTATTACCTTCTTGAAATCTAATTGATGAATGTGGATTTCCAAATTCATGAACAAAGTGAGAAATAGAGGATTCAATGGTGAACATGTGCAACCCAGGGGGATAGCGGTGTAGGCAGTGATTCAAGAGATAAGTTCGTGAAATCTCGCTTTCGAATCGCATACTTGAATGGTGTGTGTGTGTGTTATGGGGCCGATATGCGTACCTTAAGAAAATAATAATAAATTGTTGAACATGTGCAAGTAAAGCCCAATTGGCACTAATTTGGGCTGTGGATGGGCCTAATGCTCAATTTTGCTAAGGGCTCGAGGGCCTAAAAAGTGAATGGGCTCATTTAGGCCATATATTGTTTAAGCTAAGGTTCAAGTTAAACAAATTGACAGGTCTATCTCACAAGCCCAAATACTTTTAAAATGTTGAATCAATACATTGGAACATTGCACATGGGGAATCTAGAATCCTTCTCAGCTTTTGGGCCAAAAACTGTTGGTCTCTCCTATCATTGATAGCCCAAAGACAGCTAGTAAGGTGATTATCCAACTTACAAGCGTTCAAGGTTGTATGAGCGAGTTGCGTATATTTATCCATTAATTATAAAATTAGAAAAGTAATAGATATCCATTATTTCTTTTTCTTTTTCTTTTTTATTTTTTATTTTCCAACTTTTAAAATTAGTAACTAAATGTGATGTATCGTTCTAAGATTGGATCATATTAGCGGTCAATAGGAAATACCTACTCACTAGTAAATAAATAAGTATGTATTATCATATATATTATAAACGATGTCTAAAAAGTTATATTGAGGGCGAACTTTGTTTCATTATGATTTAGAGGTCACACAGGTTCAAAACAATTTCATTATGATTCAGAGGTCACACAGGTTCAAAACAAAAAACAAACTTTCCAAATGTGGAGGAAATATTTCATACGTCTAACCCTCTCAAACCGCACAACGACACAAGGAGACAGCCTGGTACAATGGATTTGCTCTTTTTGATTAATGTGGGATAAATGCATGAACGATGATATTGCAGATAGCCTGGTACAATGGATTTGCTCTTTTTGATTAATGTGGGATAAATGCATGAACGATGATATTGCAGATATCTAGAGAGTTACAGTGATGTGACACTATTACTTACTTATTCTTGATAAGAAATTTTTTTTTTTTTTTTAAATCATTTATCCATTGTTATATGTTAAATACATTCTCCATATGATGTCCAGTGCTCATGTATAATAGCAAATCTTATTTATCAAATTGAAAAGGCTCTTTGTCTTATATTTTTGTTATAAGTGGTATCAAAGTAAGTCGAGCTCTTGATTCTTTAGGGTATGTTTGGTATAGTGTAAAAGAAAAGAAAGAATAACATTAATTAGGAGCAAAAAGAAAAGAAAGGTGAGGAGAGGAGAGGATAGTGTTAGTTATTTGTTGTGTTTGGTTGATTAATAAAGGAAAAAAAAAAGGAAATAATAGTAATCAAGTTTGGGGAAAGAAAGAGAAGGAAATTAATGTAATGAATTTACATCTATACCCTTTTTATAGAATTTTTAAGGAAAATTTTGGTATTAACAAAATTTCATTAAAAATGTTAATTTTCCTTTTTTTTCCTTCCATTTTCTCCAATTTTTGGGAGGAAAACAAAAGTTACTATTTATGCTTTAGTCTTCTCTTTCAAACCCTTCCATTCCCTTCCAACATTTTATACCAAATATAATTTTTTTATTTTCTTTCATTCCCTTCTTCTTTTTTTACCATTTTCATTGTACCAAACTCAACCTAGATCCAATTTTTTTTAGTGTCGGTTGGATAGGCGTTGGTGTCTGTGTCATAGTAAGTCTTCCCCGTGGGTCCGTTATCCCACGTCAAATCTTACTAGAAGGCATATATAATACCAATCATATTGGTTGGCGTACGTGGTTCACCCATCGACTCACCATCTCATCTCATGACCATATTTTCATCTTTCACCATCTTCGTTAGACTTTGAAAAAAGCTTGTTCAAGAAGGAAATTGTTATAAATATGAAAGAGATAGAGAATTAAAGAAACCAAACAACCTGATTGTGAAGACATCTAGATGTAGAACCAATTAAGAGAGAGTGAAACTCTTATTACTCGATATTTCTGCTTTTTAGGATTAAAAAAATATACCAAACTTTGACAAAGTCACTCGTTTGAATCGGACACATTAGTCGCCTCAAGAGTTTGACCGCTACGTGATTCTCTTTTCAGATGTAATAGTGATTTTGACCCCGCTAATAAGATATATATATATAATAGAAATTTTTGTTTTCATTAGTGAGAAATGAGAAATGTTCTCTTGTATTGTCCAGTCCGTATACAATGTGCACATTGCACAACCACATATTTTTCGAAAAGGCAACTCTGTATTGTTCAAAGGGATAAGGTAAGTGCGTGAGCACACAAAAAAAAGTTGTCCGCATATTGGACACGTGTTGTAACTTTTCACATTGCTTGTAACTCTTGATTTTAAATGACAAAAAAGTATCACTAGACTACCTTAGTCTAACATTCATGGTTCATTATGCTATATATAGTACCAAGTCTGTCATGCATTGTATAACAATCTGACCATCTCTCTACACACACGCACAAGAATGGCTACTCTTCTAGTGTCCACATCCTCCTTAGTCATGTTCATGATCTTGGTGAGCAATTTCATGATCGATGTCTGTTCGTCTAAACCTTCTTGCCAGCCAACCTACCCACCAAATGCAATTCCAATAGCTGATGAAGATGTGGACTTGTTGCAGTTTGCTGAGAATCTTGAGCACTTAGAAGTAGACTACTTCTTGTTTGGAGCACTCGGATATGGGCTTGATGTGGTTGCTCCGCAGCTAGTCTGGGGCGGTCCGCCTCCCATCGGGGCCAAGAAAGCTAACCTTGATTTCCTAACGCGGAACATCATCACAGAATTCGGATATCAAGAAGTTGGTCATCTCAGGTTCGGATCTCTATAATGTAGACTATTAAGTCTGAATAGCATTGTCAACCGTTCTTATATACCAAACCTTTTTTTAAACTCAATTTTTATGCATTGATTTCTAAAAAATGTTAAATAACCAAGTTTTCAAACTAAAAACATAAAATTGTTCTTAGAAAACTGAACTAAACAAGCATATAAACTTTGTGTATGTTGACTGATTGTTGTATACAGGGCCCTTAAATCAACAGTTGGTGGGTTTCCAAGGCCTCTGATGGATCTTAGCGCTAAAAACTTCGCAAAACTGTTTGATGATGCATTCGGATACAAACTCGTCCCTCCTTTCGACCCGTATCGGGACAGCCTGAGTTACATGTTAAGTTCTTATGTGATTCCATACATGGGACTTGTAGCTTATGTTGGGGCAAATCCATCTCTCAATGGCTACAAATCAAAGAGGGTAAGGCATATTTTCGTCTTGAATGACCATATATATATATCTTCTTACCAATGTTTCAATATATATATATATATATATATATATATATATATATATATATATATATATATATGGATATATAAATATTATTAGTTTTTGCCAATATATAATCATGATTGTATAATAATCGAGTCAATTCGTATTAACCTGTTTATAAAAATAACTTTGTAACATGTTTTAATTCAATTATTACATAGATTTTTGTTATTTCAATATACTAATCAATATGGCTATTATCTGTCCTTTTTTCTAATTATATTTTCCTAATTATTATTATTTTCATAATTTTAGTCATTTATTATCTCATTTTTTTCATTATATTTACATTTTATATTGAAGTTAAGGAACAAGTTACTTTGACTCATTTAATTTAAATATATTATTTAAATAAGTTAGTAAACGAGTCTTATTGTGTTATGTGCCACACAATCTTATTAAATGAATTGTGTCTTGATGTTGGTTTAATAAGAGGTCTGTTAAGGGTTATTAGCATGATTATTAAATGGATTGTATTCAAATTCACCTATATAATGGAATACTACATATTACGTAACACGAATTGTCATCCATTATGTATATATATCCATGTTAGACTACTACTTGTTTCATAAGCTGGAGGTAGTAATGATGGCTCAACAATGTATATCAAGGTTTTAAGTTTTGTAACAGAAGACATTGTGTTGTGCAGCTCTTGGCAGGACTGTTGGGTGTTGAATCAGGCCAAGATGCTGTTATACGAATGTATCTGTACGAGCGAGCTAAAGAAACAGTGAAGCCATACAACAAGACGGTAGCGGAGTTTACAATCCGCATTTCGGAGCTGAGGAACAAACTGGCAATGTGTGGCATCAAAGATGAAGGAATCATAGTCCCACTTGAGCTCGGGGCAGAGAACCGAACCACAAGCAATGTTTTGTCAGCCAACACTGACTCCCTCTCTTACAGCAGGATGCCAGGAGAGGTATTGAGGGTCGTGTATGGCTCCGGCAAAGAGAGTGTGCCCGGTGGATTCTATCCCCGGGGAGGAAATGGGAAGATTGCTAGAGGATTTCTGAAGTAGGCATAGCCAAAAATGCTAGCTCATGCATGCATGCATGGTGTTGCCATTTTATTTTATGCTTCATGAATAATAAAGTCCTATTTTCATCATGTAATAATGTTATGATCAAAGTACCTTTTGTTTTGAAATGGACATTTCATATAAATAAAGTGTTTTTCATGATCACCACGATGATGAATTTTTTCGGTGACCATTACCTTCTTTGAAGTCTACTAATGGATGAATATGGATTTCCAAATTCACGAAGAAATTGAGAAGTAGAGGGTTCAATGTTGAATATGTGCAAGAAAAGCCCAATGGGCTATGATTTGGGCTGGAGATGGAATGGGCTTGACCGAGGGCTGAACCATATACTCAGAGTCTCGGACCTTACTCATTCTCTTATAGGGTCGGGCTGGGATACCCGTTACAGGCTCAGCCCAGACTAGGGGCTTTATTCAGATTCTATATAATAAATTGGTTAATCAATTTTGTCTCTTAAGCTTATTAATGTAACCAACATATGTTAACTCATTAAAATGAACTTGAGTATATTATTTTGTAGGGTAAACTACAATGACCTCTAAGTTTGGCTTAATTGTAATTAAATTTGAAGCTTGTCATTTTTTTTTGGCAAAGGCCCTTCTATGCGAGAATTTGTTATGAATTTACGCATTTATCTTCATTATTATATTATTAAAAATATCTGAAAATATGAAATGACTATTTCACCGTTATACTTACAACCACAAATTTTTCTTTTTCTTTTTCTTTTTCGTCCTCCATGGTTCTCTTTCCCATCTCCACTCTCTTCAGCCGCTACCCCAACCCAATCGCCGCCACCACCACTCAACCTCCTACCACCACCGTCTTTCTCCACCAGACCTATTTTCACGTTTCAATCCCAACTACGACACAAGATATATATATATATATATATACACACACAAATACCTGTATATATAGATATATATATATACACAAATACCTGTATATATATATATGTGTGTGTGTGTATATGCATGGAAATTTATATCTCAAAGCGGGTTCATGTTGAGACTTGAGCATCTTGGTGTCGGTGGCGGAGACGAGGACGGCGTTGGTGGAGGAAGATCCACAATCGGCGATCTCAGATCGGCGTATAACTACAGCTCAAATCGTTCTTCCGACACAGACCCATCTGATCCGGTCCAAGTAAACCCCGTACCTTAGGACCATCTTCTTCCAAGGTCAAGATCATCGCCGGAGCTTCGGTTTTCTTCTTCATGCGACCGTCGAATAAGTGGGGAGGAGGCCACCATTTATCTGCCGCCTACCCCACTCCCGAATCGTCACACCTCTCAACCTCCTACCACCACCACTAACAATCACTTGATAAAATCAAATATTGATATAGTGATTTAAAGAAATTAACTCATTTCCAAGGAGTGATATAATCTCTGGATTGTCTTCTCCTCTAACATGATCGTTTCTGGTTTCAGCCTTTCACGTTGAAGATGAAAATTAGAATCTTTTTTTTGGTTTGTTTGTTTTCTCCAATTAGTTTTGAATTGGGGTTGAAACTGTTTTCAGTGTCTTTTTATATTTGTGTTTTTAGATTGTGTGTCTTACACAGATGGGGTCGGTTGCCCTACTGTTGCTTGTTCATCAATTGCTTTTCAATATATATATATATATATATATATATATATATATATATATATATATTTATTTATTTATTTATTTATTTATTTATTTATTTATTTATTGTAAATGGGTCTGTTTTTTTTTTTTTTTTTTTTAACTTGCTATTGGTGTTGTTGGGGTTCATATATATATATATATATATATATATATATATACTGTAACACATATTAAAGAATATATATTGTATTATATTTTAAGCAGAATGAACCCATCAGCAATGACTCATTTATAATATATCAGGACAAATATATATATATATATAGTGTGTACTAATTTGGGAAATGAGTCGAATTAGAAAAAATATGTGGCTGTTATCAATTTATTATTAATTTGTTTCAAAAAAATAAATGTTGTTTTAATTAAATATAATTAATAGTCTCTTAAATATATTTTGATTAAACTTTAATTATTGTAATTACATTTTAATAAAATTATTTGCATATAATATATATGTTTATATATAATGTATGTGTATATGAATGATAAAAGACGTATTTGGATTTGCATTTGAAGTTTAATTTCATGCTTTGGTCTCATTTATATATAAAGGGTAATTTGGTCCATTAATGCATGGTTTTTTTGGTTTTTTCACGACACTATAAGGGTAATGAGGTCTTTTAACTAAGTTGATGGGCATTTTAGTCACTTCAACTAAATTTTTTGACAAAAAGTATAATTTTTTGTATGGAGGGGAGGTCTTTGCAGAAATGGGCAAACTTCAGGGGGGGTCTTGGTACAAAAAATGACAAATCTCAGATTTAGTTACAATTAGGTCAAACCTTAAAGGAGGTCAGTGTAGTTTGCCATATTTTATAATATTAACCTTTAGATCAAATCTTACTGTATAAAACTAGTGATTCCCTACTGTAGTTACTTTTTGGGTTTAAAGTGCACTATTCTTATAGTAACAATTATATATATATATATTTAAAAAAACATTTACGGAGTATCTGTTGCTATATTGTTATCCTCTATGTATGATGGTTCATTGCTTTGTGGTATTCAGGCATATTTAAATTATATTAATGGTGATAAGGAACATTGTTTGGGACTTCAAAAGGTAGTTTGGATGAAACAACATCGCACTAAACTTATATATAAATCAGATTTAAAAGGCGTCTGTTTTCAGTGAGTATTTGTTTTTACCTCCTATATTTGGATTTCTTGTTCTTTTGTATATTGATTTTTGTAAGTATTAAACACTTGTTATTTGACACAAAGCTCAACTCGCACATATTCACTAATGAACAAATATGTATGTATGTGTGTATATATATATATACAAAATATAACTTCAGAAATTGCTCACCAAAAAAAAAATTCATTATCCTGGTGACCATGAACAACACTATATATATAAATAAATAAAATGTCAAGCACACTTACAAAAGATTGATGATAACAATATTACGTGATAATATATAGGAATCATTCATTTATTCATTCATGTCTCTGGGCTAACATTTTTGGCTATGCCTACTTCAGAAATTCTCTAGCAATCTTTCCATTTGCTCCGAGGGGATAGAATCCACCGGGCACACTCTCGTCGCCGGAGTCATACAGGACCCTCAGTATCTCTCCTGGCATTCTGCTGTAAGAGAGGGAGTCAGTGTTGGCTGACAAAACATTGCTTGTGGTTCGGCTCTCAGCCCCGAGTTCCGGTGGGACTGTGATTCCTTCATCTTTGATGCCACACATTGCCAGTTTATTCCTCAGCTCCGAAATTCGGATTGTAAACTCTGCTACCGTCTTGCTGTATGGCTTCACTCTTTCATTAGCTCGCTCGTACAGATACATTCGTATAACCGCGTCTTGGCCGGATTCAACCCCCAACAGTCCTGCCAAGAGCTGCACAACAGGTACAATGGTCTTTTACGTCAAGCTTGATATACATTGTTGAGCCCATCTTTTAGGGCTCAAGCTTATCAGACAATTGGTAGTCTGCATATATATATATATATATATATATATATATATATATATATATATAACAATTTGGCATTGGGTGGAATTAATTCATGTTAGCAGAGGTGTTTGTGTTGATCTAATAGCATTCTATTATATAGGTCAAATTGAAGGCGACCCATGATCCATCTAAATGACATAATGAATTACTAAAATTATGAAAATGATAATAAGTACGTAAGACAATATAGTTAGGAAAAGAAACAAATACTATAATATCTGTATTGGGTTTTTTAAATAACAGACATATCAGAATAATTGGGTTAATTTAGGTTACGAGTTAATTGGGTTGAACTAATTACACGGCTAGTTAAATAGGTCTAATCGGGTTGAGGATTAATAATACCACCAAAGACTATAGTTCGGTGATACTTTCTCACCTTCCCAAATAGAAGGTTGAGGATTAAAATCCCGATAAGAGTGTGTGGGTGTGTGAGTTTTTTGCATTGTTGAATTTTGTCACAGACTTACAGTATATATATGGCCTTTCGAGCCAAAATGTGCCTTACCCTCTTCGATTTGAAGCCATTGATAGATGGATTTGCTCCAACATAACCTACGAGTCCCATGTATGGAATCACATAAGAAGCTAACATGTAACTCAGGCTGTCACCATATGGGTCGAAGGGAGGGACAAGTTTGTATCCAAATGCTTCATCAAACAGTTTTGCAAAGTTCGGTGCGCTCATATTCATCAGAGGTCTTGGAAATCCACCAACTGTTGATTTTATGGCCCTGTATACAATCAATCAACATGCACAAGCCGTTTGCACTTGTTTAGTTACTTTCTATGTTTTTAATTTAAAAATTCGTTAAGAAAATGTTTTATTTACAAGAATAGTTCACAAAGTTATTCAGACTTAATAGTCTGCATGTATAATATAACTATTATATAGAGAGAGATTTGAACCTGAGATGACCGACTTCTTGATATGCGAATTCTGTGATGATGTTCCGCGTGAGGAAATCAAGGTTAGCTTTCTTGGCCCCGATGGGAGGCGGACCGCCCATGACCAGCTGCGGAGCAACCACATCAAGTCCATATCCCAGTGCACCATACAAGAAGAAGTCTGCTTCTAAGTGCTCAAGATTCTCAGCAAATTGCAACAAGTCCACATCTTCATCAGCTACTGGAACTGCATTTGGTGGATAGGTTGGATGGCAAGTAGGTTCAGAGAAACAGACATTGATCATCATGAAATTGCTCATCAAGATCATGAACATGACTGAGGAGGATGTGGACATGACTAAAGGAGTAGCCATTCTAGGTTGTGTGCGTAGAGAGATTATGAGATTGTTATACCATGCATGAGAGATTGACCCCACTGCTATATATAGAGGGGGGAGCCAGGATCTTGAGGTTGGAGGAGCCAAAATTATAAATAACATTACGTAACTAGAACTTTTGATAATAAAAAATATATTACGTAGGCAAATCCTATATGGCAAATTGACCCGCCCCCGTGCTTACCCACCCCACCCCGCCCCGTTTTTGTTCCCTAAACTTTTTTCAATTTATTTAAATAAAAAAACTAATTATTTAAAGAAATTTTTATCAAACTTTCCGAACAAACACAAATAAGATTTATGCCAAAAAAAAAAAAAAAAAAAAAAAAAAAAAAAAAAAAAAAAAAAAATCAATTAAATAACTCTCTTTATTTACCGAAAAGAAAAAAAAAAACAAAAATGAATTTTTTTTTTTTTAAAAGTAACAATTGAAAATTTAACAAAACAATAACAATGATAAAAATAATAATAATAAAATAAAATAAAATAAGAATTTAGATTCTTAAATCATCGATTTTTGTTAACATTCAAAACTTCAAATGAAAATTTTGTTCTAGATTTTATAAAAATTAATTTCTTATAGAATTCTTATAAAAACATTCCAATAAAAATATAATAAAAAAAAATAAAAAAATAAAAAAGTGATGGAAAGAATCATGTATGAGATAAAAAAAAAATTTAGTTTGTAAAAGTAACACCTCACTTTGAAAAGTAGGATTCTGTACCACTAGGCCACCTATGGGTCTGGGATAAAATTTTAGGATAATAAAGTTATGGAAAAGAATGTGCTTGAGTTGGAAGGATTTTAAGATAGTTATATTATGAAAAGAAAGGCGTTTGAGTTGAAATTTTGGCGTTTGAGTTGAAATTTTAAGATAGTTAAATTAAATTTTAATGCTAATAAGTTTTTATTGGGGTTTTATAATCGTCAATTAAATCACTTTTTTTTAAATTATATATATAATATATTTTGTTAAATGTTAATTAAAGAAAGAAGTTTTTTTTTTTTTTTAGGAGATACGTGGTCAGGAGATGTCGAGTCGATGGGTGAACCATGCCCACCAAAGTTCAAACTAATCATTAGAAGTGACCCTTGACAAATCAGGGCTAGTTTTGGTATTCGTTCATTTGGTTGGTTGGAGACTTATTTTGGTTTACCCTTTAATTCATTTGGTTTGGTGGGAACTTATCCAACCACCCCCACGTAGTCAAAAAATTGAAGCTACCTGCTCTTAATTATGAGACTGAACATTTAACATTATTTTTTTATCCGAATTTATAATGTCATTGTTTTGAACAGTTTGAGAATTCAGACCTGTACGTTGTCAGGTGGGCACTTCATATGACAATCAAGAGCATCTCTAATGGTGAAATGTTAAATTTGATGTCAAATTTATATTTTGACAGTTCTACAGTGTCAAAATATTATATTTTAGTAATTCTATTTCAATAGTGTATTTCATCCGAAATGTTATTTTTTTGACACAATTACTATTTTTTTTTTCAACTACCATTCTTTTTCAACTACTATTTTCAACTACCAAACCAACAATTATTTATTTTTATTTTTATTTTTATAAGTAATATTATTTATTATTTATTTATCTTTTAACCTGATTTGATCCTTGATTTATTAGTATGTGTGTTTTGTACACTTAGCGTACAAGTGTGTTTGTTATTTTTTTTTATGAGCGTTTATATTTTTATTTAGCTTGTTTGCCGTATTAAAAATAAATAAAAATATTTAAATCATCAAATCAATGTTTGGCATTTCATAAAACTACTATGTTGTATTTATTGAAAATGGTTTTCTGAACTAAGAAAATAAATAAATAAAATTTCACATAATTTTACAGCCAAGAAGAAAATTTTGATTGCATAGCCAAATTGAGGATTGCACTATGTAAATATTATTATATTATTCTTCACAAAAGTCCTTCATGGACTACAAGAAAATTTTAATGGGACATAGGATTAGATCCAGTTGAAAAGAAACAGAAAAATCTTCACAGAATTTCATTTTTTTTTTTTAATTATTTTTTTATACCACAAATCAATACTAATAATATTATTATTCAAAAACAGAAGCCATACAATCAAAGTTAATTGCAATTACAAATTTACAAGCTATGAAGGTCATTCATCAATATCAGAATCACAGGAGCCCATTGGCTTAACTAATGTTCCACTGTATTGTGTGAGCTTTAGAAGTCCATTTAAGTTAGAAGTTTACACCATGTTGCACACAAAGCAGAGACCTGGTGGGAATTGGTGCCAGCCACAAATTTGCGATGATCATCTTTACTTTAAGAATGTTGTAGATGTTGGGGTAAATATACCAAGATTGTTTTTAGCAGGCTGTACAGAGAAAATACAACAATACAGAGTCTTGCGTTAAATGATGATGAAGATCAAGTATTTCTTAATTTTAAAATGCATAAGAAGGATGGTCACGGAAGCTTACAAATTTTGCAGTCCACATCTTAGTACATTTGTCAAGATCCCACACATTAACTTCAACTCCCTTCCTGAGTTGGAGAGCAAGGAATGATCATTTCTCTTGTATCACTTTGTAAACAACCAACAAGCTTATAATATAGAGTTATGAAACATATATAAACTCACCCTCTAAATAATGCACAGTTTTCATTTACATCCACTTTCATACATTGAATATCACTGGAGGCACATACATTCCAGATTGTTGAAGAACCATTAGTGGTTGAATCCGCTGGTGATTTGTGAACGTCAATGGACCTCACTTGCAAGTCCTTTTGTTGTACATGTAAGCAAGGTGCATGACCTAATTCAAGACCAAAAAACAAATGGATGGAGAAGATCTTAAAACTTCACCCTGCATTATGCATACATTGTGGTGGCTCGGAAAATAAACATACATATGTAAAATATGACCTAAGAAGAAATCACCCAAACATACATGAGAAAATACAGAAAGAAGGAGCAGCCTTGCCTTGCCTTACCTAGTTGATCCACTTAGCATCTGCACTTATTGTTAGGTGCACCCAAGTGGCTAAATTTTCGTAAACAATATAAAGATATAAATATGATTATTTTAATCTCAACAATAATCTATTCTATGTTATGAAAACGATTCTATTATAAATTTTGATGTACTAAAAACCATAGAAAACAATGTTATGAGAATTGTACTACAAATCAATGTTAAGAATATTAAACAAAAGAAGTGACAGAACACTGAGGGGTTAGAGAGATAACAAGAGAGAGGGATGAATGACAGTTCAAACTTTACTGTTTTTTTATAGGTAGATATTGAAATTTATTCTCTTGAAGATTATGCACAAAAATCTCATCCCAAGTAAGGAGCTTAAAGTACTAAAGTCTTCACAATTATGAAGTTTAGATAGATAACAAGAGAGAGGATGAATGACAGTTCAAACTTTACTTTTTTTTATAGGTAGATATTGCAATTTTTTCTCTTGAAGATTATGCACAAAATCTCATACTAAGTAGGAGCTTAAAGTACTAAAGTCTTCAGCAATTATGATGGTTTTTTTTTTTTTTCACTGAATGCAAGATGGCTTACATATTTACATAACTTATATATTAAAATTACCATTCTATAAAATTAGTTCAGATAGGAAATCTGAATTCACAATTTTTTTCATTTAAATAGCTGGATTTATCTTATGAGAAGGTCCAAAAATAAGTCATCGTACCAGTGCTGAATATGTTACCTTATCCTGAATGAATGACAGAATTTTTTAATTCCAACAGACGAATTGCATGTTTTATCAAAATATGCAATCTTTAACTAAAAACCAACACTATAGCAGCACAATGCTAAATGAATAATTTGGATACATGTTTGAATAACAAGATAGAACTATCCTATTCGTGAACAGAATAAATAAATAACAACATAGAACCGGAATACAGTTTAAACACATTTATATACATGTTTGAAAAACACTTTACTAATACACATATCTAAATTTAATTTGCAGTAAACATAATCCAAAACATACAGGGTCAGTTTTACGGTCATTGATCGAAGCCGCGAGCACATAACCGGAGGGGTTTAGCTCTCCCCCATCTCTCAACCAGTCTACGAACTCCCCCTTCTGTACCGTGAGCTTCCACAGTTGAAAATAATCAGTCATACCAAAAGATGTATAAGAATCTAAATACGTATGTATGTATACACATATATATAATCAAAAGTGTATTTGATAAACTAGATTGACACAATAGATATACAAAGAGAGTATGTATTAGTATTACCTTTAACGAGACCAAGAACATCAAAAGTTAGGGCTCGAATCGGAGGACAACCAGGGCACTCAAGCGTAGTCGTTCGTGGCATCTTTTACTTTGTGCGCTCTCTCTCTCTCTCTCTCCTTAGCTTACAAACACAATTCCTCCATTTAATTACAAAGAAAAAATTGGCAACAAAATTACCGATCTGAGAAGATATATATATATATATATATATATATATATGAGGATGAGAGGGGAAGAGAAAATATAGATCTGAGAAGAGAGAATTTATTACCCGGTCGGTGTTCGTCGCCTTTAAGTGCCCGTTGCCGTCGATAATTGCTGGTCGTTATAGATGAGAGGGAGAGAGAGACGACAGGGACAGATTGAATGCAACAAAGGGTAGAGAATAGGCGATAGGATTGAGGGAGAGAGAGATGAAACTGCGTCGTATTGAGAAATGGGAGAGTTGCCAAAAAAAATTGGTAGCTGTTACATTTGAGAGGAAAATTGAGAATGTCAAAATTTGAGGGCCCAAATGAGAACCCATTGGAGAGCCCTTTTTCCACCCCCTCTCATATTTTGAGTTTAGCAGCCCAGTATAGTGTTGGGAAACATGTTAGTTTTAAAAACTTTCTGAGGGATTTTCATACATAGATCTTGATTCATCACATAGAGACAAGTTTTATGTAAAAATAAAATATGATGTATCATTCAATTAACAGATTAAATACTTA